TCTCCCTCTCTCTCTCGCTCGCTCTCTCTCTCTCTCGCTCTCTCGCTGTCTCGCTCTCTCGCTGTCTCGCTCTCTCGCTGTCTCGCTCTCTCGCTGTCGCTGTCTCGCTCTCTCTCTCTCGCTCTCCACTCCTTTGCACTGCAGCAGAACTGATTGGCTCTCTGTGCTGCTTCCCTCTCTGAACTCTGCTGTACTGTGGATTGCCGGAGACTGATATCAAGCCAAACTTGGGTGCATATATACTTGTTAACCCATTACACACACATACAGTAGCTGCCACTGTGCGTTTTGTCGAAAACTGGCATAGTTAACCACATCTTCTGTACCAAATCTGACCTTTTTAAGAAATTCCTGACACTTGCTGCCACACCCAGATAGAAATGTAACAGAGTACAAATAGGTAGCTCTAATCTGGATTCTTTGATTTTTCTCACTTTAAAAGAATGTCCCAGGCTGTTGTCCCTCCAAAACAGCAGTTCCCTGAGCAGTTTGTATTTAGGTATGCAAATGAGTCCGTTGTTACTATGTTGAAGAACTTCACTTCCCCCTCAAACTTGTTTTTTTTTTCTTTTTTTAAAATATCTCTTACCTTTTGTGCAAAGTTGTCCTCAAGTCCAGCATTGATCCCTTATTCAGGTGACACAGCGTGGGCCCTCCGTCTCAGTACTCTTTGTTCAGTGGGATTCGGGGGGTTCAGCCACCCCCCATTGACCTGAACTCACACCAGCCGTTCTGTGTCCCTACTCCTGAAGTCTCCAGGTATATGTGATGGGAAGGACACCTTATTCTTGCCTAGGCGAGGGTGTTGGCAGGGGGCTAGCAGGGGCTTTTAGATGCCGGGTGTTTTAAAAGGTAAACAAAAAAAATCAAATTTAAGTAGTGGTGGGGGCTTCTCGGGGAGGTTTGCAGTGAGTTAAAGTGAAATGTTACCGTGACCAAAACATGGTGTGTCTGCAAAGTTTTGACTAGGCATCAAGGACCCCTGGTCATGAAAGGGTTAAATGATGTAATGCAAATTGGTTTGTGAGCGCTATGCTTGTCAGATCTGACCGGGGTGAATTGGGGAAGTCTGTCAGTGAGATGTGGCTTACCCTCTGCTCTGTTGTGGTTACAGCACAAACCGCACATTGCTCTTTACAGGAACTTTCTGATTTCTGACACTTAAAAGGGAAATGATCATCTTTTCGATGATGTAAAATCCGCTGACCTCAGTGTGTGAATACTTGAAGTCGTCCGACTCTTTGAAAACAACGCACTCCCCGTGTGGCTGATGTCTTATCCTTTTTGCTTGTAGATGCCGAGTTCCTGTCAAAGAGCAAATTATTTCAGAAACATCTGTTTTATTTAGGTGTCGGAGTATTTTATTTTTTCTCTTGATCAGTCCTAATGATTTATTTTGTTGTTTTATAGATTGCCATTGAGTGAATCATTTCCGGAAAAGATATGTCCACCCCCGATCCGCCTGTGGGGGGCACCCCTAGGCCCGTGCAGTCCCCCGGGCCGGGGCCTTCTCCTGGTGCTATGCTGGGCCCTAGCCCTGGCCCGTCTCCTGGATCAGCGCACAGTATGATGGGACCAAGCCCTGGGCCTCCTATTCCTCCCCAAGGGCCTAGTGGATATCCTGCAGAGAACATGCATCAGATGCACAAGGTGAGAGACTCCGCCGCCGCATTTGTAGAACCTTCCTCACAGCATCCATCTTTTGGACATTTTAAAGTGAACGTCCGTGTATGTAAGTTGCTTTTGAAGGGGAACTGAACCCTTGAAATTCCTCCTGAGATACTTGTGGTACTTGAGAATTCCTAGACACTCCTGTGCCTACACACTAAGATCTAAGGCACCGTTGACTCTGACTTCTGGTCTCCCCAGATTTGGCATGAGATTTGGTGATGTCTGGGCTGTACTCCTTGTTGGAGACTTTAGGGAGGAACTCCATGAAAAACAAAATGAACCTTTGCAGTGGTGCTACCCCCGCACTGCAAGGGTAACTGCTCGTTTCTGCCTAGGGGCTGGATTAAAAAAAGATATACTTACCTGATCCTCGATCCCGTTTAGACAAGTCTCTGCAGCCTCTTCTCCCCGGGCTCAGGCGGTCTAAGCCGTGGTGATATCATCACGTGTAATGCAGGCCCATTAAACAGCAGTGGACATGAGGTCGCCGAGGGGCATGACACAGCCGGGAGCTGTGGCATGGTAAGCCAGTAATAGACAAGGATCTCCTGCAGGGAGACAACAGGCATTCTCGCTACAAATTAGGTAATGAAGCATTCAAGAACCTTAAGGGAGAACTATGGGGTTAGGGCTTTTCCCCATAGTTCTCAGGGTGACGGGAGGACACAAACCAGCGTCCTCCCGTCACCCTAGGCTCAGTATACCGCGAGCTACTACTCGCGGTATACTGAGATGCCGCAGCTGAAGCGGATCCAGACAATTATATCTGGATCCGCCCAGCTGCGTGAGTGACAGCTGGCTCTGCCTACCTAGAGGCTGTACCCGCCCCCTCCCCCACCCGATCCGCCAGTCAGCGCTGGCGGATCGGGGAGGCGGGAATCCAGGCCCTCCCCCGCCGTGACAGGATCGAGAGGTGAGCGAGTGCCGGTATGTGTTCGCTCACTTCCCGATCTACTGAGCCGACCTGTGACAGTCTCATTGTCACAGGTCGGCTAGAACTATGAGGTCAATGAAAAGCGCTCACCTCATAGTTCTCCTTTTAATTGTCCTTTGTTCATATAACCTGTGCATTCAGTTCTGACCCCTTCATAAAATGGGCCTCCAGTTCCTCATTGTATATGGTTAATTTTTTATTTTTTTTGTTTGTTTCCCTCATGATAGCCAATGGATTCCATGCATGAGAAGACCATGCCGGAAGACCCACGTTATAACCAGATGAAAGGGATGGCAATGAGGCCAGGTGGACATTCTGGTATGGGACCCCCGCCAAGTCCAATGGATCAGCACTCTCAAGGTATACCTAACATCCAGTGGTCAGCAAGGATTGCTCATACTCTGTATGAAGTTGAGGAGCAGCCACAACATAGTGAGGGGGTGAAACTTGGAGGGAAGTACATCAGGGCAGTAGTAAACATGAATCAAATGTGCTCCCATGTTACTTCTGAGAAAAGGGACAGGAGATCTGTACTGGCATAGATAACCTATCTTTGCTGGGCTTCATTATGTTTTGGACTCACTTTTGACTTTGCTGAAATTATTTTTATTTTAAGATCACCTGTATCCTAAATCAAGTAACTTAAACAGTGTGTTAAGGTGCCCATACACTGCTCGATTCTCGTACGAGAATCGCGGGAAATCCCATGATCGTACGGGAATCGAGCAGTGTGAACGGAGACGTGCGACCGTTTCTACTGTACGGTCGCACATCTTTTGTCTAAGGAGCACGCTAGAAAACCAGCCGAAAATCGTCCGATTTTCGTCTGGTTTGAACGGTGCTCGGGAGACAAATGCCGAACGTGTCGTTGTGCGCACGCACACACTGCACGTTCAGCATTGCGGTCATCGGAAGCCCGCCCCTCAGGGGGGCGGGCTTGCGATGATCGAGAGTGCGATCTGCCTGTCCAAGATGGGCAGATGGTACGTTTTTTTAATCACTTTACAACCATCGCAAGACTAAGGTCTTGCGATGGTTGTACAGTGTATGGCCACCTTTAATTAAAGTGCTCAATTAGTTTGTACGGGCTCTTCTTTTTAAGCTTCATTGGCTTCTCCTGGTGGGAGTTGTGGGACAGCAGGTCAGCACTCAGACTACCTTTGCTTGGTCACATGAGATTCTCTAGGGAGAGTCTTGAGTGTCTGCCTGTTCTTGGTCTGCCCCATGCCCTCCCTAGCTTAGATGTGCCTCCTGCAGCCATAGAGTCACACAGGGAACATCTAGGTCATAGTGCATGTGTTCTCTGCACTGAGAGAATAGCATTAGTAGTATTTTGAGTAAAGCTTCCAGGACTAGAGAGCATAGTGTAGCGGCCCATGTTTAACAACCTTCTTCCCAAACCTATCACCTAAACTGCTAACCCAGGCCCTAAACCCTATTGTGCTGCATTCACCTCTGCACCAATAGCAAGCAGTCCTGTATGTTGTGCCACAATACAAGCACCAGACTAACCTGACTGGAGAATCCAAAGCCATGTTCTCATGTTCCTCTCTATTTGGAGGCCCAGCAGCATTCTAAGGTGCTTCTAGATATCATACATACTTTGCACTTATTACTGTAGAGGTGCTATTCTTTCATTTCCATTTTCATTAGGGTTTCATTTAACCCTAAGGTCAGGTTAGGGGTATGTATTGACCAATTACCGGTAAGCCTTGTTGAGAATACTCTTACACCAGCTTACTGGCCAGGGTATGGCCAGGTTAATGCTTTCTACAGAAGAAAATGTTACATTGTTTGTGAGTTGTGTTTTTTTTCACAGTACATATTGTTATATTTTAGGTTATCCTTCTCCACTGGGCAGCTCCGAGCATGTCCCGAGTCCAGTGCCCTCGAATGGTCCACCTCCTGGACCTCCACTGCCATCTAGCTCAGGAGGGGTGACCATGGAGAACCCAGACCAGCAGCAGCAGCAGCAGCAACAGCAGCAGCAGCAGCAGCAGCAACAGCAACAGCAGCAGCAGCAGCAGCAACAACAGCAGCAGCAGCAACAACAGCAGCAACAACAACAACAACAGCAGCAACAGCAGCAGCAACAGCAGCAGCAGGCGAGCCGCAGTCCAACCCCTTTTAACCAGAATCAGTTGCATCAGTTACGAGCACAGATAATGGCGTACAAGATGTTAGCCAGAGGTCAGCCATTACCTGACCACTTACAGATGGCTGTGCAAGGCAAGAGGCCCATGCCAGGCATGCAGCAACAGATGTCGACACTACCTCCACCTGCGGCCTCTGGGACTGGCCCAGTAGCTGCCTCGGTACCTGCTCCACCTACCTACAACAGACCTCATGGTAAGAACGCAATTCTCGCAATACTGTTTCTCCTAAATATAATCCAGCATAAAAAGGGGTGGCAGTTCAATACATGCAGCCAGATCCACCTTTTGCCTTTCTAGTGATGGTTGGAAAATGTAGGGACACATCTGATAAGTTGGTGTGAACCATAGTCTCCCTTGCTTTCCTTTTTTTTTTTTTCATTCTGTATAGTTTAAATCAAATCATAACTTTGTGGAATTATGTAAATTGTGCTTTTTCACAAAATGTTTCGGTTTCCTTTTATAGGAATGGCTGTTCCTGCCATGCCACCCCCAGGACCTTCCGGAGCTCCTCCTGGGATGCCAGGACACCCACCAGGGGCTCCTCCTAAACCCTGGCCTGAAGGTAACACGAACAGCACTATATGTAGGTGTTTTAAAATCAAACTTAAGGCAGTGAAAAAGAGAGGATTGTGGTGCCTTCTTTTGGGCGCAGGGCTTTTCGTTTTTAGGATGAAAAGTTTACGTCGAGCATTTGTGTCTAGTATCCATAGACTGTTGCAATATTACATGCACTGCTTTGTATTGGAAATTCTGCACTGTACCACATAAGTCATTCGCTGTTGTCATACAAACTCCCTGATTTACAATTTACAGATAGGGATTTTCACACTGATTGCACCTCTGTGATTTGCTTTGAACTAAACCAGATATTTTGACCTGGCAGGGCATAGACTTTGATAGGAAATTCCCTGTATGAGTCAATAGGCAGCTTTGACCACCAGAGAAGCTCTTTATTGCCCCCATGTGGCCATAAATTGTCTTTCTGTATTGTACAAAATCTATAGCATCACTTGACATCACATGGGACCGTTTATGGGTATCTTTTCCCCCTTGCCCCGTCAGAAAAGGGAAAACCTCATAGCAAAGGTTAAAGGCTTAAAGTATCATCTTCAAATAATATGGTAGCTAAGTGGGGATTTGACTCCTGCCAGGAGAACGGCTAGATGGCTTCCTTGCATGAAATTATATCTGACCTTTGTGTGCTGTTGCAGGTCCCATGGCCAATGCCGCAGCTCCAGCCGCTGCACCTCAGAAGTTGATTCCTCCACAGCCAACTGGCCGGCCTTCACCTGCGCCCCCTGCCGTGCCTCCTGCCGCTTCACCCGTCATGCCACCCCAGACACAGTCACCAGGTCAGCCAGCCCAGCCTCCTCCAATGGTCCAGTTTCACTCCAAAGCCAACCGCATCACCCCTATCCAGAAACCCCGGGGCCTGGATCCAGTGGAAGTGTTGCAGGAGAGAGAATATAGGTAAGTTCTATTTTGTGCTGTCCTATTGCTGGTGTGCATGCAAGCTCCCTTTTATCCCACTACTGGTCCTACTTGGAAATATTTTGTTTCCTCCCCCTGTGGAGTAATTCATCCTCAAGTTCAAAGAGAAGCACTAGAGTCTTTCAAGTCAGTCTCCAGTCTTTCAGTGCACCTGCTCTACATTTAACTTAGAGATCAAAAGGCTACTAGGAGGGGAACAGGGAGATCTAAGGTGGCAAGTCACTGCTTGGAGAAGAAACAAGAGCTGAGCCACTGAAATGAAAGTGAAATTGCCTTTTGTTGTAAAAGATGAGGATGAGTTACTCTATGGTGATTACAGCTACAAAGGTCAGTAAGGGCTTGTTTTAAGAACATGTAAATCTTTCTCTGTAGCCAGTACTGCTTTAAGGAATGTTCAGCTTGCATCTATAAGGCATTTTTAATATCTGTGTTCTCTATGCAGGCTCCAGGCACGCATTGCACACAGGATCCAGGAGCTGGAGAACCTTCCAGGGTCATTAGCCGGTGACCTTAGGACCAAAGCTACTATAGAGCTGAAAGCCCTGCGTCTTTTAAACTTTCAGAGACAGGTGGGTTTGTGTACATGTAGTGGTGGAAACGTACATGCTGTTATCCTAAAGACTTCTTTTAACGGTCATCCCCACGTATGCTTTTTCCAGCTGCGACAAGAAGTCGTGGTCTGTATGAGAAGGGACACTGCTCTGGAAACAGCGCTGAATGCCAAGGCTTACAAACGCAGTAAACGGCAGTCCCTTCGTGAGGCGCGGATCACAGAGAAACTGGAGAAGCAGCAGAAGATCGAGCAAGAGCGCAAGAGGCGGCAGAAGCATCAGGTGAGGAATTGATGAGCACTACTAGAAGGAGAACAGTGTACCACTTTTGCTGGACAGCGTGGATTGTTAAGGGAAGTTGAAAAATAACAGACTTGCTGGTAGGGTCAACAGGTTGACTCTACGAGTTACAGATGGGGCTCCAAAGGGAATTAAAAAAAAAAAAACAGGCTGCCTGCCATGTTAATGCTATCGACAGACTGCATCATATATGTTTTTGATTTTGCCCATAGTTCCACTTGAAGTCCGCTCCTTAGAAATCACTCCTACGAGCTAGTCTAGGGGTTAACATAAAAAAAAAAAGCACCCACAGTTTTGATCACAAAGATGGCAAGGTCTTTTGTCTTGTGCTGAGATCCTGTTTGGTTAGTTACATACGAACAATTTTTCTAATTATACAGCCTCACTGGCCTGAGAATGTTTTGTCTTCTGGCATCTAAAGCGATTCTTCTCTCCCCTTTTAGGAATATCTGAACAGCATTCTCCAACATGCTAAGGACTTCAAGGAATTCCACCGGTCTGTCACAGGGAAGATCCAGAAACTGACAAAGGCTGTGGCCACGTACCATGCCAACACCGAAAGAGAGCAGAAGAAGGAGAACGAGAGGATTGAGAAGGAGAGAATGCGGAGGCTGATGGTGAGTTTTGGTGGGCTCTGGTCTCCCCTGTTCTCAGATTTGTAGCCTCACTCCATCTGGGGACAGTACAGCGGCTGTTAGTGGACAGTACTGTGGCCTGCTTTGCTCTTGGTCCTCTTATTTTATTGTCGGAATCCTAACTGGTGAGCTTGTTTCAGTCTAAGTAAACTTTAGTGTGTGTGGTTGTGGTAAAGACATTCAGTTGTATAATCCAATGGGTTTTTATATGACCCTTCTTACTACCAGGGTCGCTTTCTCGACATACAAGTGTTTTTTCTCATTTTTATTGTTTACCGCATGCAAAGTTAAGAATTGGCGATGTAAGTGTTTGTCGGATAAGTCAAATACTTGTTCCCTACAATGTTCCACAAGCTGGCAGCCGGAGGGAAGCAAGGTATTCTGCACACCCAGAAGTGTAGAATACTAGCAGTTGTTGGAAAGTGGGGGTTTTCAGTACACAGACGGCTGGACGAGTAAGTATATACGCGCTTCTTTTTCAGGTGACCTATTCTGTAGATGGTGTATAGGTACATACACAGTTTTTTTTGCAAGAAACCTTATTCATGGCCAGGAAACTCCTAGCCGGACTGTGGATCCTCCCCACAGTATCTGTTTGACCTGCCAGCGTGGTCTACAGTACAGACCTGCACAGGTATCTCATTGCATCGTCAGTTCGGTTATAGGTTGTTGTACTCGAAGGTATTTTATTGTAGTATGCCCTATTATTCAGATCTATAAGCCGGGACAAAAGCATAAACCTAGAACACAGCTATAGCAGTTACCATTATTCTTCAAGTTATTTGAAAATTGAATTGCATGCTCCTATGGTGGAACAAAAGCATGGTGTAAATTAGGAGAGCCCTGTACTTTGTGCTGTTGGCTGGGTTTGGTTGATATTACAATGTCCATTCTCAAATAATCCCCTTTTCCGAACTGCCTTTACAATAAATATTACGTCCTGTCCATTGTGTATGTAAATGTGCCATATCCCTTCTCCTAGGCGGAGGATGAAGAGGGCTACAGGAAGCTGATTGATCAGAAGAAGGACAAACGTTTGGCCTACCTCCTGCAACAAACGGACGAGTATGTGGCCAACCTAACAGAGCTGGTGATGCAGCACAAAGCTGCCCAGGTACTGAAGGAGAAGAAGAGAAGGAAAAAGAAAAAGGTGAGATGGTCAAATCCATGGAATGTCCTGAAGTAATGTAAATCTTTCTTGAAGGGTTTAACTGTAATTGTTTTTGTTTCAGCTTCAAGAGAGTGGAGAAGGCCAACAGCTAGCAATTGGACCAGATGGCGAGGTGAGACCTGGAGCCTTCACATAATGTAAAGCCAATGATGTCTGTCGTTTTCATTGGTTAATGTAGCCTTCCACTTTGCCTTTCTGACTACAAATGGTAACATTAGGATTGAATTTAAATAAATAAGTAGGTTTTGAATATATGAACCCCGGTATACTCGGTATACCCCGATTTTCTATTCCTCAGGGACCGTAATATTCAGGGGTACAAATACTTTAAAGAATGAGAACACACAGGGACCTATACATATGCACACATTAGTAGGACCATACATATACACACAATAGGTTGGACTTGATGGACATATGTCTTTATTCAACCTCAAATACTATGTAACTATATACCAATACAGCTGAAGTGTGGGAAGCTTTCAACGCCTGCCAATACCGGTTTTATTCTTTAAATTGACTTGTGTCATTAAAGAGCCCCCTCAGGTGGACCCTAGGCCTGGGGACTGTAAACAGAACTTCAACTTCTGGCCAAGTTGATATTAAAATTATGTGAGCCAAGTTGCTGTAGGTAGAGGTCAGAAGATGATTCCCTTGCCAAAAACATTGAGGATAGCATTGTATGTGCTGCTGCAGCTGACTTCTACTGACTTGTCATTGTTTCTCTGCAGCCTTTGGATGAGACTAGCCAGATGAGCGACCTTCCAGTCAAGGTGATCCATGTGGAGAGTGGAAAGATCTTGACTGGTGTAGATGCTCCAAAGGCTGGGCAGCTGGATGCCTGGCTGGAAATGAATCCTGGGTGAGTGAGAGCTGACAACCCTTATATGTCTTGAGGTCTAGATTTTGAAATTGGATTTTCTTTTTTAAATGAAAACCTGAAATTCTAATTAGCTCTGATCTCAGAGGTCTTGTCCCATTTACCTGAACATCTACCACTAGAGGTATTGATATCTGGGCTAATGTTTTTTGGGGTTTTTTCAATCTTCTGTAATGCAGAGGCACTTAAATGTCCAACTAAATAGAAGCTGACTTTTTTTTTTATACAGCTCAATTTTCAGCTCCCCAAAGTCTGATGTAGTGAAAGTAGGTTCACATAGTAAATCATTTTCTTTTAGCCATCTTTCTTGATGGCAGATAGATGGTACAAATCTGGTGAGCTGCCGAGCCCACCTAAAGAGGACAGTGTCTGAAGATGGAGGATGTGCAGTGGAAGCTGCAGCCTGTACGGTTTAAAAATGCAAACCTGCCACTTTTCCATTGTAGAGCTTAAGGAGGTGTAAGACAAAGCAAACACCAAGATGCTGCTTGCATTACCTGCCCAGGTTTGTTAGTAGGAGCCTTTTGAAGGCTGGCCTTATACACCTACTGGCTTTGACAGTCGTCATTGGTTATCTGTGGACCTCTGTTCATTGCTTTGAACAGCGGACATGGCAGGAGACAGGTTCATGCATTGGTCGACTGAAAATGCATGTATGTATGAACCTTTTCCAAATCAGTGGAGAGTTGCAGGGTGACGATCATAGATCATCACCCCATTTAGCATCAGCCTAAAGCAGTCACTAGTAATAACTGGAGTGATTATAATCATGATGATTGGTGTGGTTTTTATGTTGATAGATCCTTAACATGAAGCACAAGACAGTGGTTTGGTTGAGTTGCCTGTCCACATGCATGCACGCAGACTGTATACATTGTAAGGGATCATCAGCATATATACACAAAAGCTGTTGTCTGTGTATTGGGAAATGGAGAACTGATTTAAACTCTCACTTTTGGTATATCTACCTTTTTGGCTTCTATCAAAAGCAAAGTAATTGGAGAGATGGCCCAGGGTACAGTGGTCTAGCTTGAAGATCTGAACTTTTATATCCGTAACACTGCTTCCAGGCCGTGATTTTATTGCTGTCCCTTATCAGGGACGTGTCTAACGAGATTGTGTTGCCGGTGATATTTGACCAGTGGCAGAATTGCTAAAATTCATCTTCCATTATGCCTCTTCGAAGTCCCTCGCCGCTCCTAAATGTTGACCACTTGCACAAGCAGTCATGGGTAACATCCCATGCCGTGAGAAAGCGACTCCATAGGATGCAAGTTAAATTTTAGCAATTCCGTTGCTGCCAGTGCTATATGAACCTTTAGGCTGCATGGCCTGCCTCCAGTATGCGTGACAAAGTACACGTCATAGCCGCAGTGCTCTTCTTTTAACGTTATGAAACTCTGCTGAGACCTAACAGGTTTAAATATACTTGCCATTTATCTTTAACAGTTACGAAGTTGCTCCAAGATCAGACAGCGAGGAGAGTGGGTCCGAGGAGGAAGAGGTGAGATAGCTGGGTAATGATGAATAGCAGTCCCACGGGGGACCGGTGGGACAGAAGAGCAGTTTGTTTTGTATATCAAAAACAGCAGAATTTAAAAAAAGAAGTCTCACCTCGTATTATTTTTCACAGCCTTGTCCCCTAGCTCAGACAAGTGTATGCTGCTTTTTATCCCGTCTTTCTGTGCGAACTGGAAACTGGGACTCTCACTTTGAGTTCACTCCCAGCCACGCTCTGCAAAGAAGACGGATCTTTGATTGACAGCACTTATCTCCCTGTCCCTGCACTTTCCCAATGCAGGAGAGATCACAGGAATGCAGAGGGAATGGACACTCTGGATAAGCACTAGAACTGGAAGGGGGGAGCCTTGTGTCTGCAGAGTGCAGAGACTGAGATGAGAGCTGTCAATCAAGAGCCTGTCTCCTATGAAGAGGAATGAGCTGTCAGTCTGTATCTCAGTTTCTACTACACAGAGAAGCATGGGATAAAAAGCAGCATACGCTGTGGGAGTTAGGTGACTGAGCTGTGAAATGTAATACAAGGTGAGATGACTTTAAGGCCTCATTCACACTAGAAACGGCTGGCACATACATCTCCGTGCACGGCCGCATCGGACAGCTCCCAGGAAGGACAGGTGCTGCGTATGATTAGTACGCAGCCCCTGTTCTACTCTATGGGAGTACGCGGCCGTACGCTGCCCTACGCTCACCTCAAGTACAGGTCGCTGCGGGTGTCCCGGCTCGGACGCAGACAGGATCCATCCTGTCAGTGTAAGAGTACGGACATCAGCACGGATGTGCAGGGCGGGTGAGCGTAGGGCGGCGTACGGCTGCGTATTCCCATAGAGGACGGGCTGCGTACTAATCACACGCAGCGCCTGTCCTTCCCGGGAGCTGCCCGATATGGACGTGCACGGAGATGTATGTGCCAGCCGTTTCTAGTGTGAATGAGGCCTTAGAATGAAATGGTATGTTGTGAGTTTGTAATCCTGATGGGCAGCCATGAAACAAGCAAGGTACATAGTACCCAGTCTACAGATGGAGGAAGATGGCAGTACATACACAGGAGAGTAAGTAAAAACCACGTGGCCAGATTCATCATTTTGACTTCATTTGTTTTTTCTTTTTCACTCCAGTAATTTGGTGTGTTGTGTATAGGCACCAACACGCTTATGGCAGAGTTTTGTTTGGTGCAAACCATTTTTGTCATAGTTGAATAGCTGCTATTGGCATCATAATACTTTACTGTGATAGTGTTTGTTTAGGTTTGGGTTTGGGTTTGGGTTTGGGCTGGAGGTGCACTAAACCTTCCATGGTAGTTTTTAGAGGCCAGATATTAACTTCTCATGTGATTGGATGGTGCTGCGTCTATAAATCCTCATTTTGTCTCCATCACCTAGGGTCTCCTTTCTAAAAGGGAACAGAGCCAATGTCTTTTACTTTTCATTTTAAACAGTTATGTGCCTGTACCCTGAGGGGTAGGGTGGAAAATAAATGACTGGAAACATGCTTATGCATTTGATAACCCTAAAATCAGAACAATGCTTTACTCGAGTACCTGCATTGGCTTTATATTAACCTGCAGCATAATGACCGGTGTTTTCTAGCGCTGCACAAAATTAAGACATGCGCTTCAAATTATGGATGCCACTTTATAAACTTCTAGACTAGAGATCTAGGTGGTGCTCGTCATACATTGATTGATTCATCTCTAGTACTGCAAGGTCATGATCGCTCCATGCTAATCATAATCGGTCTTTATACCTAGGAAGAGGAGGAGGATCAGTCTTCAGCCTCTATCACCACCCAGCCAGCGTTGGAAGAAAAGAAAATCACTGATCCAGACAGTGATGATGTTTCGGAGGTCTTCGCCAGGGTCATTATTGAGTAAGTGTTCCAGTCATTTCACATTTGCCCAGCATCTTAAACTTCAGGGAAAAATGTAGGAATTGATCATGAGTTCCTGTGGTCTGTACAGCACACTGTAACTGGCATTTTACCTTCATTTATAGGAACTTCGGAAGCTTGTTTAGAATGGAAATGTCTAGAGGACACAAACAATTCATAAGTAGATTGCTTCTTAATTTTCATGAGAGAAACATGGAGGTTCACTGGCTGTCATGCTGACCATTTTGCTTTGAATCACCCCTAAAATGCACACATAACTTGTGAAGCTCCTCTGGCTTTCTTGATCTGTATACTTGTTGCCGGGCAATAATTTAGAGTATTGAAGCTAGGTTTAGTAGGTTTACTTTAAGAGACCCTGTTATGTCTATACTTTAGTGCCCGTGCACCTTACCCCAACATTTCCCTTGAGATTGATAACACAAGTATCCTATCCTCATGCCAAGGTGCTAGGTGTCATCCTTGACTCAGACCATCTTTCCCCACATCCAATCACTATCCAAATCCTGCCGCCTTCACTTTCATAACAGCTCCAAAATACGCCCCTTCCCGATCAATGAAACCACAAAATTACTCATCCCACTCGCTTGTTATCTCTCGTCTATTGCAACTCCCTCTTCATTGGCAGACCTCTACACATGCCCCTCCCCCCTTCAGTCTATCTTGAATCCTGCTGCTAGACTCCTCCAACTAATCAACCGCTCAGTGTCTGCAACCCCTCTGACAATCCCTGCACTGGCTTCCATCCCCTGCCCCCCTTTGCCAATCCCTCCACTGGCTTCCATCCCTGCCCCCCTTTACCAATCCCTCCACTGGCTTCCACTTGCCCAAAGGATACAATTCAAAGTATTAACCACTTACAAAGCCATCCACAAATCTGCCCCCAGATATATCTCCAACCTTGTCTCAAAATATTGCCCTAACCGTCCCCTCCGCTCTTCCAAAGACCTCCTCCTGCTTTTCAGCTCCCTTGTCAACTCCTTCCATGCTCTCCTCCAGGACTTCTCTAGAGTCTTTCACATCCTCTGGAACTCTTTACCCCAACCTGTCAAATCTCCCACTCTGACTGCCTTAAGGCGATCCCTTAAGACTCATCTCTTCAGGGAAGCCTATCCCGCCTCAAACTAACCACTGAACCATCATATTCTCATACAATTCATCCCCACACAGCTACCTCCTCATGTATCACTTGCCCCTCCATTTTTAGATTGTAAGCCCTCAGGGGCAGGGCCCTCCTTACCATCTTGTCTGGAATTGTATTGTGATTATAATGTCTTCCTTATATTGTAAAGCGCTGCACAAACTGTTGGCGCTATATAAATCCTGTATAATAATAATACTTTAAGGGACAGACAAGCCATTCAGGTCCTCTGTACTTATCCAGCTCTGTGTTGAATGATTTAGTTGTGGTTTCAGATTGTTAGGTTGCTGCTTTACAATACATAACTACAAGTGTTCAATAAGACACTGATGTCATATAATTGTATCTTCTTACACCCAGGCATGCCCGTCAGGATGTGGATGACGAGTACAGCATATCTCATGCTGCCCCCACAGGCTCCCAGTCGTACTATGCCGTGGCACATGCTGTTAGTGAGAGAATAGACAAGCAGTCCAGTCTGTTGGTGAATGGGTTCCTCAAACAGTACCAGGTGAGGACGAGGGGAAGATGCGTGGCTCTGTGCTCCAAGACTGTTCTACTGTGCTTTGTTATTGGCAGGGACCTTTATCAGATTATCATACCTCTTCCTTGGCAACATTTAAAAAATGAATAACCTTCTCTCACAAGACCTGCCAGCCCCAATACATGCCCCTAACCTTTTTTGCATTTGAGGGCTGTAATTGAGGATGCTTATTTGTTATTT